GGAGATTGTCCCTCCTTCCCCGGCAGAGCATCTGGTGGATTTGAACCATGCGCCTCTGGGATTGTAGTTGCAGCTCCTTACCACTAGGCCACCAGGGCTCCCCTGCATCTAAATTTTTTTAAAAATATCTACATATATTATTTTAAAATTAAATTCTCTTATTTACTTAGACACTCAACAGTAAAAGGTTAGTAACTTGGAAAAAAAATTAGTAACTCAAAGTCATTAGAAAATTGACCAAATAAAAAAAGTTTATGTAAAAAAAACATGTTCTTTTAGTTGTTGTTTTGCTGCACTGACTATTAGAGACCCTACAGATTAGCTCAGAACTGCCCCACGAAGTTTCCCACATTGAAATACTTACTAAAAAGAGTAAAATAATTTTCTAACAAAGAAAAGTCAAACATAAACATCCTCACAGGCACTATGAAAACATCAAGTAAAGCAGGGGAAAAAAAAAAGGCAATTCTCTTAGTTCAATGGATTTCTCAAATCTATGACACAGTTATTCTGTGCCATGAAGTCAGAACCCGCTCAGAGATGGCCCTCCAGCGAGTTTTCAGAGGCTCTTCATCCCATGCAGGAGACTGCCCATCTTCCTTCTGAGCAGGTGGGGGATTTAAACCCCTTTGGGTCAGCAGTGCATATCCTTACTCAGCAGACCTCCCTCTATGGCACAGACAACGCACAAATTTAAACTGCTCAACCAGTCAGAACAGTGAATTCCATGATCCACCTACCGAATCAGCAGCCAAATGGTTATTTGCATTGGTGAACTCGGACACCAGCTCATCAGCCACTTCGTTATATGATGTGGTTCCTTTCCGCTGAACTTTCTCACATACTTTCATCGAAAAATGTCTCAAGCCTTTCCCATTTTTATCTCCTTTTTTGCTTCGTTTACTAAAAGAGAGGAGAGAGAAAATCGTTTTATCTTATTAAGCTTATTAAGACTTCTTTTATAGAAACTCTATAAAATAGCAAGTGAAGATAGCAATTTAATGCTTTACTTAGGTGGTGAAATTTAACACTGAATTTAAAATAAATGCTTTTAGTATTTTGTCTTAAGAGCATAATAGGCTGGAAGCTCGAGTGCTTTTTCATGTACCTCATTCAATTAACAAATATGGACTTTAACTGAATATATTCCCCTACACACATTATACTCACTTATTGTGTGATGCATTTTCCTAGAAACCAAAAGTAACGAAGACTTTGTCCAGCTTGCACTTGAGCCTATACTTACTCTTTTTGTAATCTAAATAGGGTGAAACCAGGCTGCTCCTTGGAGGCAAGGATTCTGAAGCTTTGTCTGACATACTCTGGACATGTTGCAAGGAGGGACCAGTTCTTGGAGAGGGACATCATGCTTTGGAGGGTGGAGGGACAGAGCAGGAGGTGAAGACCCTTGATGAGATGGATTGACTCAGTGACTGGGGTAATGGGGGTAGGCGTATTAGAGACAATAAGATTGGCAGAGGACAGAGCAGGGTTTAAGGCTGTTGCACAAAGGGTCGCTGTGAGCTGCAGGTGACTCAATGGCATATAACCACAACAACAAATAAGTTTTGCATAAAGTGTCATCATCCCAGTCTCACTCCAGTGGCCTAGTGGTAAGGAGTTGCCAAAGGTGTGTGGGTCAAATCTACTAGCTGCTGCTCTGTGGAAAAATGATGGCCAGTTTCCTCCCATGTGGTAACTGCCTCTGAAAACCCACTGGAGGGTCAGTTCCAACTTGAAGGTACACAACAACAAGAAGGGGTTCATGCTAACTGCATACAAACAAGGTCTGTCCTGGAGAGGGTGAAGCCAAGTTGCTCCTTGGCAGATCTCATGTCTGGAAGAATGGAGGGACAATGCAGGACAGGAAGACCCTGGATGAGATGGATCGACTCACTATAGGACAGGGTTCAAAGCTATTGTGCATAGGGTTGCTATGACTCGCATAACAACAATAATCTGGTGACATTAAATGACACACATGATGCTGTGTGCTACTATCATTACTACCAACTTCCACATGTTCTATGTGCCCTCAAGTTGCCTGTGACTCATTGCGATCCTATGAACAATGGATCTGAACCTTGTCCTATACTGTATCATCCTCATGATCTGAGGTATATCAGAACTCACTGCTGTACCCACTTCTGCTGGCTCACTGAACACAGTATATTATACATTCTTCATCAACACAATTCAATTAAAATTAAGTTAAAATTCTTTAATTTTCCTTGTTGTTGATTGTCCTCGAGTCGAGCACAACTCATAGTGATCCTATGAACAAAAGGCCTAAAGCCTTTCTATTACTGCCGACATTTATCAAAGTTCATAGAGTTTCTGGAGGGAGGTGGATGCCACTCCTGCTTCCAAACCTTTATTAAACTGGGAGCTCCACTAACCACTGTCCACCGTGAGTAACCATTATGGCATCTGACACTCCAATGGCACAAGGTTCAGCATCACAGCAACCCCAGATTACCTCAGTACCACATATTGACAGAAGAGTGCTGTACCACTCAGAAGAATGTTCCTCCAAAATATAGTAACAACCAACTTTAAATACAAAGGACCTCCCAAAGGTCTTGTTCTTCCTTAGTCATTCCTAAGTCCAACTTTCACATGCATGGCTTAGTATGGCACACTTGTCTTTAAACTGACATCCTTGCTCTGTAGCACGTTAAAGAGGTCCTCAACAACAGATTTGCCTCATGGAACACACCTTTTGAATTTTTTTTTTTTTGGCTTGCTGCTTCCACGGGTGTTGACTGAAAATTCAAGTAAAAGGAAATCCTGGACTGCTAATGCCAACTTTTTCTCCATCTACCGTGATGTTACCTATTGAAGCAGTGAGGAGGATTTTTCTTTTCATGACGTTTAGATGTAATCCATATTGAAGTCTTCTTCAGAAAGTGCTTCAAGTCCCCTTCATTTTCTGCAAACAAGGCTGTGTTGTCTGTACAAGGCAGGTGGCAGAGGTTCCCCCACCCTGTTACCACACTCTTCTTCATATTCTTCATTTCCTTCTCAGACACAGGCTGAACAGATATGGAGGAAAGGATGCAACCCTGATGCACACCTTTCCGATTTTAAATTATTCCCTTGTTCTGTTCAAACAACTGCTTCTTGGTCAACAAACAGGTTTTACCTAAGCACAATTAACTGTTCTGGGATGCCCATTATTTTCAATATTAGTCAAAATCTGTTATGATCTACGCAATTAAATGCTTTTCCATAGTAAAAAAAGCAAAAGTAAACACCTTTCTAGTATTCTCTGCTTTCTGCCAAAATTCCACTGATATCAGCAATAATATTTCCATTTCATGGCCTCTTCTGAATTCAGCACAAATTTCTGGTAGTTTCCAGTTGATGTATTACTCTAGGCATTTAAAAAATAATCTTAAAGAAAGTTTTACTTGTCTGTGATATTGATGATAATTTCTGTAGTCTATTCAATGTGCCTTTTTTTAAAGTGGACACAAATAAATAGAGATTTATTCTAATCAGTTGGCCAGGTAGGTGTCTTCCAAATTTGTTGGTATAGATTAGTGAATGCATCCAGGACTTTATCTGGATTAGCATCTCAGCTGACATTTCATCAATTCCTGGAGCATTGTTTTTTGCCCACAGAATCCTTCCACATTGCAAGGTATGGCTTGAAATTGGCCTTCAGTTCTTTCAAGCTGAGAAATGCTTAGCATGATCTTTTGGTTTTCTAATTCCTGATCTCTTCACATCTATTAAAATACTATGCTTTGTCTTCTCAAGCTGTCCTGTGAAATCTTCTCTTCAGCTCTTAGTTCATCATTCTTTCTTTCACTTTAGCTTTGCTCTGGTCAAGGGCAAGTTTCACAGTCTCTACTGATGATGTATTTTCATCTTTTCCTTATTTCCTGCCTTTCTATTGAACTTTTGCTTTCTGCACGTATAATGTCCTTAATATCATCCCACAACTGCTCTTGTCTTTGGTCATTACTGTTGAATGTCTCAAATCTATTCTTGAGACAGTTTTTAAATTCGGATGGGATATTCTCAAGGTCCCATTTTGGTTCTAGTGTGTCGTACATTTACGATGTAAAATCGTTCCTGAAGCCTATTTATTCTGAGATTTTAGTCATGAAAAGAGAGTCTAGATAGAATTTTCTCTTTGAATTGTAAGCCTTTATCTTGCTTTCTGCTCTACTCTACACAGCAAAGTATTTACATATAGGGGAATGGGCAATCTACCAGCTAATTAAAAATGCTTCATTGATGCATCACATTTTCAACATTCTTTACTCTCTCTGATTTTTTATCTCTTTATTTGGCTTACAAGTTTCATTCCTCGTCTTTTAAAAATTTATGACCAAACAGCAACTCTCTATTCTTGACTTCTTGCCCTGAAATTTTTCTAATATTTCCCCAGATCTACAGAGAAGAACAAGTTCCAAGTAAGAAATAGTCTTATTTTAAAAAGAAACAAAGCCTTTATCCATTAGCAGTCAATCCCCATCTCTTTTTTAAAAAATAAAATTTTTATTTTATACTGGTTTACTTACAAAGTTTGTATACACTACTTTTCATACTGGATTGTACCCATTTCCATTACCTACAACCCCCATTTGTTAGTAACCAATATTCCATTTTCTGTTTCTATGAATTTGTGTATTCTTCAAAGTCAACTTTTCAACCTTCTATTTTCTAGCATCTCTATTTCTGTCCTGTCCAATGTGCTCTACCCACTGTTATCTGTAGATCAAAGTTTTGGGGCATGAAGGATGTGCTACATTCTCTTGTTTCTTTGCTGATGGTCAAGACATTCCTCTTCTGCTCCTGGATCAGCTAAATTTAATGGTGAGATCAGCCAAACCCTTTGTGGACTGGTGAAATTAACCAACTCCCTTGTAGATAGCCTAACACACCCTATTTGCATATTCCCACCCATCCACATGGAAAAGGCAAATTCAAGAGCTAGGCAAGTAATTTTGAACAATAAACACATATATACAAAGTAGGGGGATTCTACAAAGATGGCAGGAGCAGCATATTACAGAATCTTCAAATTTCACAAAGAAAAGTAACTAGTTAGCAAACTCTAAAAAGCCATTGATGATATCTATAACAAAACTAGATGATGAACAGTTTTCCCAAATCCCACAACACATACACACACATAGACACTCTCTCTCTAGCCAAAAGGTATGTAAGTGGGGTTGTATTAAAAACTCAATTCCATCAAGGCCCCTGAACTCACAGTGACCCTACAGGATGGGGCCGGAAGGGGGGAATGTCGGTAAGTGTTCGAGGTAAACTTAAAGAAGTAGAGTTCTATCTTCCTTCCAAAGAAGAGCTATTGAATTAAAATTGTCAATCTTTTAGTTAGCTTAATCCACAGTACCATCTGGGCTCCTCAAAAAAAAGTACAAAATGGGACTGCATCTGAGAAAAGGTTAACCTCCAAATAGTCACCTTGAATTTAACTAGAAAGCACAACAAGATACTTTGAGAACAACCACTGAAAGGAACGTTCTGTCCTGTTTTAATACTGGCTGGGGGAAAGATGAGCCATCTCCTTCTGTGCCATTTACTGCCTCTGAAAACCCACTGGAGGGTCAGCTCTGAGTCCATTACAACCCGCAGTACACAACAACAACAATGGCTGATACCTGGGACCCATAATAATGGCTACAGACGCTTAAAAAAAAATCTAATTATGTTACGAAACTGAGAGGGACAAATACTGACTAGTGATGAGTCCCACACAGGCATATAATATAAAGAAAATAACAATATCTGAAGAAAAAAATGAAAGAAATAGAATATACTAATTGCCATAATTCAAATGAATTTTTAAAAATTATTACATATTTGGAGAGTACAGACTCATCATATGTATTACACACACACATTTATGTGTATGATTCTCT